TTATGTCTCCTGATTTCAATGTGATGTCAACTGTCCTTAATGCACTTGGATGTAACTGATATATTGTCCACAACCACAGAATTAAATCAGACTAAAGTTACAAGTCAGTTCAGGTGCTGCATGTACAATGTACATTACATGAAACTTTAGTCTGATTTAATTCTGTGGTTGTAGACAATATATCAGTTACATCCAACACATCATTTAATTCTGTAGATTATCCGGGGTGAGGTAGCTACCAATTTACTGAGACAGGTGACCATTTTATCACTTTATGGCGGGCTGATACTTCAGTACCCACGGGAGCTTGGTACCAGTAAACAATACATGACCGTCATATACTAATTTTATCATAGTATAGGTCCAGGTTACATATTGACACAATACTTCGGACCAATTTTAACAACAGAAATAATGCTGTGTTTATGGTCAAGCATATAAAAAAAACGATATAACTCTAGGCCAAACAAAAAATCCTTGATATCTTACCCTCACCCCAATCCTAAACCTTTTTATGACTTTTAAGTTTGAATTAATCCAAGACTGTAAAAATGACATTCCTAACAGCCAGGGAAGCCTATGGCAGTACAACAAAATATGTAAGTTGGATTGTTCAGCCCCTGAATAGGAATTCAATGTTAATTTCAAATCTGAGTTGTACATGTATTTTATAAATAACCTAAAAACCCACTTGAGATTAAGACTTGACTTGAAAAAATCCTTACACTAGTATTTCCATCCTAAAATTCCTTATTAAAGAATGTATAAATAACCAACTGCAAGGACCTGCACCCTTTATTAAATGGCTTTACTTAATTTCAATCATTAAACACTATCATAAAAGACAATATTATATCGGTCATTTTTGAGACCAATCCTTTTTCTGTCATTTCAAGATTTCCACATGAAAAATCCTAGCTTCGATTCCTGGCTGATGACTGACTAACAAATTTGGGACATTGGTATCAGATCCATTGGCAGATGATTTCTTAGGAAATTGCTGGTGTGAGAATGATTCTGATTTTCTCAACAGTGTGTTTCCAGTACAAAGGAGTCACATATTGATCATCCGTCTATAATGCATGCCTTTGTGCTAAGCTATATTGGGCAGTGCTAGAAACAAAATAGAATAGCTACATGTATATTAATACTGCTTTTCACCAATCACAAGCATTGTCAGAAACATTGTTGGGGCACTCCAAATGGGTTGGCTTGTGCCATAAATAAGAAATGAATGAAGTGATTGCTCATCTGTAGCAATCTGACTTTTTTCTGTGACACTTCGGTATTGATCTGTTAAGCTAGAATTTCCACCTTTACGACATACCCTATAGGTCCCAAGCTCAACAAGACACAGAAGTGTTTAAATATTTCTGTAAAACTAATATACTGTACATAATGAAACAGCAAAACATATTATATTTACATAGCTGTTAAACACTATTAGCATATTATAATGATAATAATTTGAGGTTCTTATATACGGTACGCTTTATCACAACTTAGTTTGTAGGTCATCTCAAGGCGGTTCACAAATTATTATCTTTGTAGTTATATAAAATAGTTATTCTTTATAGGGCCTTTGCAATCAGCAAATGTATTTCTCAACTCCCTGTGGGAGCATACAGTATTCAACAATTCTAGCACTGCCCATGCAACCATACACTCATTTACAGCTGAGTAGACTTGAACAAGTGGAGTAAAATATCAAGCTCAAAGATACAACACAGTGCTGTGACATGACTCAAACCTGTAACCCTTTAGTCACGAACTCGGCGTCCTACCACTAGACTACCGTACCTCCAATATTACATAGCACACTGGATATTTAAATGTTGATAAAATTTAATGTAATTAAAAACGACAAAACCTCATCTTTGCAGCAGCTACCATAATATTTTCCTAAATAAAGACCATGTCGTGATGGTGATAATCCCATGTGAAATCCCTCCCC